TCTCACCAAAGGTCTGGAATGTATATAGATATTACATATTTCAAAAAGAAAAAGAAAAAACATGTCAGTCTTACCTTGGTAGACGATGACGTGGACATGGAATAATGCCTGCAAGTTGTTAGAAAAATGGAGTATCCTTAGTTATTTGAGTTTTTGAATCTGACATTCTTCTGCAATATAAATTTGGGGAGAGATGGTAAAGAGAAAAAGAGAGATTAGACCTGAGGAAGTGACAATAGTAAGTTTATGATTTGAGGAAGGAAGAATATTAGGAGTGTCTCACTCTCAAAGAAAACATAGAAATAACCTAGATGGGGGTGATGGTGGTGGCCGGAGAAGAAATAGATGAAGGAGAAAGTAACATCTAGGGTTTTATGTATATAAACGTTACCAACATACCCTTTATGTTATTTTAGGATATAATATTAATTATTAAAATGATTGGCTGAGATTGGATCTCACAGTTACCACAAACTAATCAGTTCTCATTTGATTAGGCCCATATATATATATATATATATATATATATATATATATATAGGGGAGCGTTCAAATAAAAACCACTCAATTTGTGTAAACCGTGAAAACCACATTCAACCAATCATAATTTTTCATTTTGTTTATTTTTTTGTAATTATGAGAGATTGATTAACCATTTTTTTTTTGTAAAGGGTGTTAATCATGGATATTATCGTCTTCATTATTTTAATTTTAGAGAAATAAATGAAACAGTTTTATTAAAATTTCATTAAATATTATATGAAACAACTTTATAACCATATATGAAACAAATTCATCAAAAAAAAGTATTATATGAAACAATTTCACAAGATTAAACAATTTCATGAAAAAATTTCATAAGATTAAACAATGAAATTGACGTATGAGGGTGGTTTGTACGGTTTACACAAATGAGGGCAGTTTTCATTTGATCGCTCCTCTCTCTCTCTCTCTCTCTCTCTCTCTCTCTATATATATATATATATATATGGCGTAAGAGCATGTAAAAGAGAAGTTATAGAGAAAAACAAGAAAAAAAAATCTGAACTATTGATCACTTTTAATCTCACACTCATCAATGAATTACATTTTAGAAAAAAATTGATCCGGTACATCTCGGTGCACCTCATTAGTGTAGACATTCAATTAGAATTGATCTAATAGTGAATATCTTTTCTTACGTTTATCACCAGAACCCAACCTTATATATATTATTCTCATTAGTTTGATAAATATGTCGATATGATTTTTCCAAATTTTTTAACCGGATTTACCTGCTTATTTGAGAATTGTTGTACTTGTAGTGAGTATTGTTATTTGCATATGTAAGAATGATATAAATATCGTATTATAGATGTGAGTAATATAAATATATAAGAATGATATAAATATGGCATTCAGGAAATGGCCTTTGATCTAATATAACTTGGATTACCAGTAGAATACAACCTCCTTGAAAGTCAAGGGCCAAACCTTCACCAAGGTGAAGAGGGTGTATAGGTACATTTATCTTATATAAATGTTATTTACTTCATATATGTATACACACACATACATACATATATATATATATATACATACATAAACATATATATATATATATATATATATATTCATTGTTTTATTCACATGTGATATGCTTGTTTACATATATAAGAATAATATAAACATGAAATTCATATGTGAATATTCATTATTCCATTGACATGTGAATATGCTTGTTTGCATATGTAAGAATGATATAGACATGACATTCATACGTGAATGATTTAAATATGTTTGTAAAAATATTCACCGTTATATCTGTTTGCATATCTAAAACCAATATAAATGACTTTCATGTCAAATGAAAGTGTACTCATTTTGTTGAGTTAAGTTTAGAGAATGAACAACAACGACGAAAAAATCAGGCATAATAGAGTGTTGGATGTTCGCCTCTTCCTCTTTACCCTTTGGCTCACCACTTCTGAAACAACAGTGAATATGCAAGGTTTTGCTCACCACTCCATTCCCTCTTATATCTTTAAATCTTCATTTTCTTATACATAATACTTTATCAAGTTACGGTTGAGGGGACCATAAAAGATACACAAAACGAAAAGGTACGAGACAAGGGGTTGTTGGGTTGTGTTCTCAGGTGCAACATCGGGCTCAACAGAAGACAACATATGTTATAGGGATGCCACCATCTATGTTCGAGAAAGAACAGAGGATGGTTATGTGGGGTTGCATCACAACAAAATTGAGACTATCAACAACGATCGGCTGCAACTTGGTTGTAACAATATCGATTTGAGTTTTTAGAATAGCAGAACATATATGGAAATTGGCAACATAAGTTGTTGGTGGCATTGTTTCTCATGGTTGCAACACATTAGAATTGTAGGAAAAAGAACAAGAATGCATGGTGGAAGGGTTATAAATAGTAGGTTAATCATGATTATATTTATTCATGGACAAAATAACCCACTAGACTCGGTCCATCCGACTCACTAGAACATGAGATTGACCAATCATTATAAAAAATGTATGGGACCGGTCTGACCCACTAAGCTGATGACCAAGGTCAAATAAAAATAAAATTCGGACAAACCTGTTTGACCCATTTATATATTTGTAATTAATTAAAATTACGAAAGGTCTCCTGATTCCCAATTTCACATATATTTGATCGTCACCTGATAATCTCAAATTTCAAAATTTCTTTCAAAGAAAACTGTGTATTTATAGTTTTGAGTAGGTTATGCTTTTTTTTTAAACTTTTTAGGCATGTTAGCCCGTGATGCAAGCCTGATCTGTTTATAGGGCGAGGCACCTTACCAAGCTTGTAAAAAGGCTTGAATTTGCTATTGTAGGCATGCTGGACAAAGAAAAGGTCCCGATTCATGTTCGACGCAAAAGCCTGTAAATGATTATCTCTAATCGATATTATTGGACGTGATTGAGCAGATGGTCGGGATTTGCTCTCGGATTCTCTATCTTTGAGGAGTTATCATTTGACCCTCCTTTTATACACACACACACACACATACTAGAATTATACTAGTGATGCATCTCTTATAAGTTCGAGAATTTGAACCCTCAATTCATGATTCATATTTTATCTTTGTCCTGTCCAACTTATTTTATGTTCTTGTGTGGTTTTGAGGGAGTGAAACAATTTTTAATTTTATCAATTTTATGGAGTATTTTACAATATGATCAATAGGGTTCAACCGTTATCTTGTATTTGAACACGTTTATAAGTTGATTTATCACTTAGTTTTATAATGTACAAGTATGAAGTTTTAAAAAGTTGTTCGAATGTAGTAATAAGTTGTAAATATTTTATAATAAAGTAAATATATTAGTATAAATATACTCGAACGTGCATATATGTGTAACTGAAAATGTGAAAACCATGTTAAAAATTAAAAAAGAATATCGGTATGAATATCAAATTAAAGTTAAAAAAATAGCCCTTTTTGATATAATTTAATTTAAGTTTAATAATGAAATAATTTATTTTTGGTTTAATAATATAACATTTTATAAAGATAATAATTAAGTATTCTGTTAGAACTCAATGATTATTCTAATTATATTTTAGATTTTTTATATTTAAAATGAGATGTTTATCCTGTATTTGATTGTGTTTATCTGCAGTTAGTTACACAAATTCAAATATGGAGCTTTAATAAGTTGTACGTACGCACAATTTACTTGTAATATTGAGTTTTAAGTAATATGAATTAATAAACAGTACTTTAAGCATAAAAAGTGGTTTTTAAAAGTTTTTGTCAAATGATTTATAATATAGAATATTTTTTTTTCATATATAATTTAATTTAAGTTTAATAATAAAACAATTTATTTTTGGTTTAATATTATAAATTTTATAAAGATAATAATTAAGTATTTTGTTAGAATTTAATGATTATACTAATTATATTTTAGATTTTTTATATTTAAAATGAGATGTTTATCCTGTATTTGATTGTGTTTATCTGCAGTTAGTTACACGAATTCAGATATGGGATAAAATCGGATAGAGATGAAATCGTTTAGGGATGAACAAATTTAGGAGTTTTTAAGAGTTTTAGCCAAATGTTTTATAAGATATTATAGATTTAATATTATAAATTTTATAAAAATAATAATTAAGTATTCTGTTAGAATTTAATAATTATCCTAATTATATTTTAGATTTTTTTATATTCAAAATAAGATGTTTATCTTGTATTTGATTGTGTTTATCTGCAGTTAGTTACATGAATTCAGATATGTGATGAAATCAGATAGGGATGAAATCGTTTAGGGATGAACGAGTTTAAGAGTTTTTAAGAGTTTTAAGAAATTTTAATAGTTTTTAAGAGTTTTAGCCAAATGTTTTATAAGATAGTATAGATAATATTTGATAAATTTGTTTTTATCATGTTTTGAATAAACCATTTTCGTTTAAAAGATTAAAAACTAGAAAAAGTATGAGGTTAAAAGTGTAAGGTTTTTACATCTTGAAGCCTTAAAACTACAATTTTGATGAAGACGACAAAGAGAGGATCTTCAACCCTCTTCCGACCCATGAGAGTAGCAGCGGCAAGCATCATCAATTGCAAGTAAAACCTTCATTTGAAGCTACTCGCATTCACTCTCTTGATCCAAGGTACAAACCCACACATTTCTCCACTTCCTTTTTTTCTACTTTTCCCTTATTATCAAACCTATAAAGTTCGAATCTTGATTGCTTCTTCTGTCTCATTCTTAAAACCCCTTTTAAATCTGAAAGCGAAATCCAAAAGGGGTTTCATTTTCTTCATCTTTTTTACCATAACTTGCTACACTTCGTTTATCTGATTCTGTTAATTGCAGCATTTGCCATTGAAGATCTTGTTATTCTCTTGTTTTCTTGGTGGGTAATTTGGACATTTGACATGTAGCCAAAAACCCTTTTCATTGAGTTGGATCTTCTTGTCAAAAGATTCGTTTTTTTACTGATTTACCCTCTCTGTTTCAGGGTTTTCACAGTTTATATGGCATTTTCCTTTTTTTAATGTGAACTTACTGAAGCAATTAGGGAATGAAGAAGTGGACAGGGGGTGTATTGATCATAGGACTTGCTTGCATTTTGCTTATTAGTTATAGCTTTGTCCAAAAACAACCACGAAAGCAATCGTCGTATGAGTTCTTCCATCCGAATGAAGAACGTGGTAATCTTAGTAACTCGGTACAAAAAACGGGGGAAATGTTACGAACTTCTGTTGGAAGACCACACCTAATCAATGTGGATGGACTTGATTATCTGTTTAACTTAACTCACATGCCTAAAGAAGAGGATACAAAGCCATTGTTGGCATGGGGGCAAATGCGTCTTTTACTTTCTAGATCGGATTCTTTACCCGAAACAGCTCAAGGTATTAAAGAAGCTTCTGTGGCATGGAAAGAACTACTGTCTAAGATTGATGAAAGCAAAGCCTCTAAGTTTGTTGATAACAAGGAGGAAAGAAATTGTAGTTATTCGGTTAGTTTGATGAACAATAGTGCTTTGTTTTCTAGCAATGGCTCGGTTATTCTTGGGATGCCTTGTGGGCTTATTGAGGATTCTTCGATTACGGTTATTGCAATTCCTGACAAGAAACAAGATGGGTTTCGAATCGAACTTGTGGGGTCAATAGGGAAAGAGGAGCAAGACCCACCGGTGATTTTGCACTACAATGTGGTTTTACCTGGAGATAACTTCACAAAGGAGCCGGTTATTGTTCAAAATACATGGACATACGAATTTGGATGGGGCAAAGAGGAAAGATGTCCAAATTTCGGGTCTTCAAGCAACGCAAAAGGTACTTAAGTTCATGAAAAATTGCAAATATTTCCGTTTTTGCAACCTTTTTAAGTTAAAATTATCCTCCCTATTGTGATGACCTCTATATATTGATGCTATCGGTTTTGGTCTACAAGATCCTCTTTATCTTGTCATTTTTGGAGGTTTATAAGACATCTTTTTTTGTAATTGTGGTATTTGGCATCTCTGAAGAAACAAAACCACAAGGGTTGTGGCGTAGTGGTTGATGTCCTTGGGGGATGTGGTGGAATATCCCATCTGCTCAGGGTTCGATTCCAATTCCAGGCATACACCACAATTGTAACCACAAGTCCCAAATTTGTCTATGAAGAGCGGATCTAATTGCTTTGGCCCGGACACCCTTACAAAAGAGCGGATCTAATTGTATTAGTATCTATAATTGATTTCTTCTGTGTAATACTAATYGATWGGGCCTCATTGGTAAGTGCTACAAGATCTCGTGCATTGGAACCCATGGTTATGGKCCCGAATCCATTAGTATGGAACATTTTCTTTTCCAAGTGAAATCCCCTAGTATATGAAAGAGTGAAAAAGTGCTTTCATTGTTGTGGAATAAGAAGCCTTCGTATCATGATGCACGTATTTAATTTATTCGGAGCTATTAGAACGGGATCCACTTTTTGGGGAATACTAGTCAGTTTATCAGGGCTGATTTCTTGCAGTCACAATTTGCCGGGATTAGTCCAGGCATGGCCTATGACACCCTTCCAAAAAAAAAAGAAATTAGTCCAATGAGGTCTGTGTAAAATGCCCCTCTACATGGCTTAAACAAACTTTTGGCCCGAATACTCCTATAAGTCGCCAATTTGAGTCACCTCAGGGCCATTGGGGATTTGTCTGGCTGTTATCTTCGAGGCCCCATTCATTAGTCGTGGGGTGCGTAATCTTGTCCGAACACCAACGATTTCAAAAAAAATTATTAGGTCAATCTCTCGGGGTTGTAAGGTGACTAATAGTTAAATTATTAGATGACACTATGTATCCGGTCAACCATCGCAACTTACAAAGGGAGTGCATTTTTCACCTTGAATGCCATGTGAAGAAATATATTGTGATGTTGATTTGTGCATCATTCTAAAATGGGATTTTTTTTTTATTAACCTGGATATCCAACCCGCTATGCAAGCCAACTAATCCCAGGACGACCACCTGCTTTGCAGATAGCCCGGAGTCACCGCATTTGAACCTCCATGGCCACAAGGGGATTTTTCTATTCATATTTCGTGACATTCTCCTTGAACTTGCTTTTCTATGTACTTCTTTGTTTAGTTTTAGTTATGTGTATAGAATTATAGTAAAGTTCATGCTTGTATTTCAGTTGATGGGCTCGTAAAGTGTAACGAGCAACTCACCGGAAGCTCTTTGGAAGAAAACTCGAACCCTAAACATCTTAGTGTTAACAAATCGACCAACGCTTCTGATGTGGGTGACCACAATCATATGAGTTCTAACTTCCCTTTTTTGGATGGAAGTCCATTTACGGCCACAATTTGGGTCGGGGCAGAGGGTTTTCATGCCACGGTAAACGGAAGGCATGAAACATCGTTCGTGTATAGAGAGGTAAGGTATGATAGACTTTCAAGCTACAATCCCTATTCTTACTGGAACCCAATCTTACATATATATATATATATACACACACACACACAATAACATACATACCATTGGTTAGTTTTTGGCTGAGATTATACCATTAGTAACAAGTTCTTGTATTCTTATAGAAACTTGAACCATGGTTGGTGAGTGGGGTCAGAGTGACAGGCGGTTTGCGTATCATATCTGCGTTGGCTAAAGGCTTGCCAGTGTCCGAAGATCTTGACGTGGCTACCGATCTAGAGTACCTTAAAGCTCCATCCATATCTAATAAAAGCAAGAGGCTTGTATTATTAATCGGGGTTTTCTCTTCTGGAAATAATTTTGAGCGTCGGATGGCGTTGAGAAGATCTTGGATGAAATATGAAGCCGTCCGTTCTGGCGTGGTTGCTGTTCGTTTCTTTATCGGTCTTGTAAGTGATACATTATAAAGTCTATGAATATATATTTGCTTTTCTGTTCATTAACGATTTACACACACTACAAAGAAATCGGGTTTATAAGATGCCAAAAATGTTTAAATGTTCTAATAGCCTGTTTTATAATAAGACTTACGTTTTAGAACCAGACAGTTGTACGTCATGTGTAAAAGCATTGCAATGAGCTTATAATACACTTTTGAACGTTTTAACAACTTTTTAGGACACTTTTAAAATAAAGTATCGTATTAACTTTTATACGAAGTGTCCTGTGATCACATCTTTTTACAAAAAGCTTGTTTTTATGACACTATTCAAATAATATCGTTAAAATAATTAATAGGACGCTTTGTTTCAAAAGTATTTTTTAAAAAATTGTTAAGACGCCCAAAAGCGACTTATAAACTTACTATACCGCTTTTACCTAGACCGCAAAATTTTCAGGTACTATAAATCAGTCTATTAAGGACACTGGCCATTTACCAAACGCTTATCCGGGTAAGCGCTTACCAAGTCACATTAACTTACCGGATGAATATGGTAAGGACCAAGAATCTTATCCGGTAAGAGCAAGACAAGGACCAAGAGTCTTACCCGGTAAGTGAGCGGGACGACTCTTGCCACGGTAAGCGCTTACCTGGTAAATTGTTGCATACGATGTCGTTATGGTGGACTAAAATCTTACCTGGTAAGTAAATAATAGTGTTAAATTTTACCGGTAAGCACTTACCGGATAAGTGGCGACATTTTTGGCTTCTTATAAACTCGATTTTATTGTAATATCCACTGGGTTATGACCATAATTTTCTGATACACTTCTGTTTGAATTGTTGTAATGCAGCACAAGAACAAGCAAGTTAATTTTGAGCTATGGAGAGAAGCTCAAACCTATCAAGATGTTCAGTTGATGCCCTTTGTTGATTATTACAGCCTGCTGACTTTGAAAACTGTTGCAATTTGCATCATGGGGGTATGCAAATTAGTTTACTCACTACAATAAAATCAGCTTTATAGGACGCCAAATATGTCTAAATGTCCTAACAGATTGTTTTATAAGACTTACATTCAGTAGGACCAAAAAGTTGTACGTCATATGTAAAAGGTGTTGCAATAAGTTGATCACTACAACAAAATCAGGTTTATAGGACGCTCCCAATTTCTCTAAGCGTCCTAATAGGCCTCTTTATAAGACTTAGTTTATAGGACCAAAAAATAAAGTGTCATATCTAAAGGCATTGTAATAAGTTTATATGACGTTTTTTGATGTCTTAATAAGTTTTTTAGGACATTTTTAATATAAAACGTCTCTTTAGCAATTTTATAGGACACTATTTGAAAAACTGTCCTATAAAAACACATGTCCTATAAAAAATTTAGTTTATAGGATACTTTCTCAAAAGTGTCCTATAAAGTTGCTAATACGACGCTTTGTATTAAAAATGTTCTAAAAACTTGTTAAGACACCCAAAAGTGTCACATAAACTTGTTACAACGTCTTTAGATAGGATGTTTTATATTTTAGTTCTATAAATTAAGTTCTATAAAACAGTCTATTGGGATGCTTAGAGATTGGAGGCGTCCTATAAACCCAATTTTGTTGTAGTGGATAGAACACTTTTGGACGCCTTAACAAGTTGTATAGGACACTTTTGAAATAAAGTGTTATATTAGTTTTTTTAGGATAGTTTTGAAATGTCTTGGAAACACGTTTTCTTTATAAGACATTTTTTCAAATAATGTCAATATAAAAACCACTAAAAGGACGCTTTATTTTAAAAAGTGTTTTAAACAACTTGTTATGATGCTCAAAAACGTCTTATCAACTTATTGTAATACCTTTACATAGGACAGACAATTGTTTAATCTTATAAACTTACGTCCTATAAAGCAGTCTATTACAACATTTAGACATATATTTTATCCTATAAATCCAATTTTGTTGTAATGACCGATGTTCAATAGTAGAAAATCTAAAATGACCATTTTGGTGAATCAAACCCATGAAAACATACCGAAATCTTTGACGAAAAGCGACCGTTTTTGTGTTTTACAGACCAAAATCTTGCCGGCAAAATACATAATGAAAACAGACGACGATGCGTTTGTTAGAGTTGATGAAATTCTTGCTAGCCTCAAGACCAAGACTTCCGATGGCCTCTTGTATGGCCTTGTATCCCTTGATTCTAAACCACAAAGGGACAAAGAAAACAAATGGTATATTAGTACCGAGGTACGTTATCTTTCTTTACTTGGCATAAGTTTCCATTGGGTAAACCGCAAGGGCTCAGCCTGGTGGCAACCATTGGGTCCTTCGGTTAAATGACATTCTGACAGTGTTTTTTTTAAATCCATGACCTTCTGACAAGTTTGAGAATGTCACTGCTTAACAAAAGAATGTCGCTTCCGTACACAAGAATGCCTAGAAACTTGTCCAAAGGTCATGGATTTGAAAAGGACTTGTTGGGAGGTCATTTAGCTAAATAACCCGACAAACCCATTGGTCGATAAGAAGGTTAGTTTCTCTTATTCCCAGGTTCAATTCCCATCTGGTGCAAAAACCGTTGTGGCCACGCCAGCCTCCCATAGGGAGGGAGGTTTTTGCCGGTTCTAGGACCGTGTGGCGGTGGGATTGGACCACGCGGATTAGCGGCGCCCTTGGGTTGTCGAAACCACTTTTAAGAAAATTTCCCTTGGATAGTGAATACGGCTTTTTAATTTGATCGGTGGGTTGTTTGGGCAGGAATGGTCCCATGATTCATACCCACCATGGGCGCACGGTCCAGGCTATGTGGTTTCCAGAGATATAGCAAAGTTTATCGTCCGTGGCCACCAAGAAAGAAGCCTCAAGGTGAGATTTTTCGTTTTTTCTGCTTTGGGCATTTTGGTAATTTACAACTAAATTATGAGCTAGTTTGTGAAACATAGCCCAACTAATCCACAATCTTTCAGCTTTTCAAGCTAGAAGATGTTGCGATGGGTATTTGGGTCGAACAGTTCCAGAAACATGGTCACGAGGTTCAGTACATCAACGATGATCGGTTTTACAATGCGGGTTGTGAGCCAAATTACATACTTGCCCATTACCAGAATCCAAGAATGGTTTTATGTCTATGGGAGAAGTTGCAGAAAGAGCATAAACCTGATTGTTGTGATTGAGTTAATACATATACAATTACTCCTTTTGTACCCTTTTTGTGTCATGTTGTGTGTTGTTGTACATTATGCAATGCCGGTTGTACGTTTTGATAGTTTGTTCTTCTGTATTTAAGATCATGTCGGGTTGTATTTAGCGTAGACGGGAGGTAGGGAGCTGGAGAGGTATACAGTGGCAAATAGGGTTTGTACGCTAGAGTAGGAGTGCGTAGTTTCCTTAAATCAGTTATGCTTTTGCTACTGTTTGTATGTTTTTGCTTTCTCTTAACCAACGTTTTAAATCTTTATTGTTCCTCACGTTTCACAAGTTCAGTCTTTACTGAAACATCCGCTTTACCTTTAGCGATAGAGGTTATGTCTAACCACCTGGGTTGTGGTGCACGCGTAAAGCCTCAGGGAGACGTACTGGAAAAACTCATCTACATTGGGTGCAAATTCAGGCGTTGTCAAAGCCCTTGTGGCCATGGAGGTTCACTCGTGACAACTCCAGGTCGTTTTGGTAGCTCGAGGGAAGAGTTTGTGTGCATAAGCTGGCTTGGAAACCCATGGTTACCAAAACAAACAGTAGAGGTTAGGGACTGAACAGGCTCAACTAGTTTACCCAAAAATTGATGGAATTGGTCCTACACTAGGCCGAGGTTGACCGGATATGAGAAGTGGTTGCTTAATCAGTTACGATGATTGAATGACTGGTGTTCTTGAACGTTTCAACTAAGGAAATTCCACGTTAAAATGCCACATTGAAATATCTTGCATATTATTGAAAAACGTGATTCAAAGCAACCACAAATTGGTCCAATCGGATCGACATGGACTTGAGATGCTAAGGTTACTGGGATGCTGCGAGTAAAGTTAGGGGCCGTTTATCAAATGTTTACATGGCAAGTACTTACCGAGTAATTTTTCTTATCTGATGAAAATGGCAAGGGTTAAAAATTTTATCCGGTAAGAGCAATGATAAAGATGGAGAGTCTTACTCGGTAAGTGAGGGTGACGACTCTTACCCGGTAAGTGAGGGTGACGACTCTTACCCGGGTAAGTGAGGGTGACGACTCTTACCCGGGTAAGTGCTTATCGGGTAAATTGTTGCATACTCTACCATTTTAATGTACTAGAATTTTATCTGGTAAAATAAATTATAGTGTTGACTCCTAACGGTAAGTGTTTACCAAGTAAGCATTTATGTAAACGGTCCCTTAGCGATTCTATTGGGCTAAAGTAGGTCGAACATCGATCCAACCAAGATACCGACACATAATTGTGTTCTATCCTTATGGGTGACACATTTAATAACCGTTATTGGCAAAGCCGTGAATGCTAACTACTCTATCAAGGAGTCGTGATATAAAAACCAGGGTTATCATCATAAATAACCGACTAATCTTCCAAGCGACCCCTAATCGCCATTAGTCAGCGCAAGTGAACCTTCATGGTCGCATTTGACAGTGTCAAGATTCGAACCTGGGAAAATTATTTATAAAAATTATAATTAAATGTAATTATTCAAAAAATGAGGATTAGTTTTAAATATAAGCATTATCTATACTATATTATGTAACAATCCTCATATTCTAATTACATATAATTCACATCATCATACTYATAATACTAAAATAGTATTATTACAAAACATAGACTATCAAAATGTATCTTTAATACATAGRCAAACAAGCTATTATCATCATTCAGACTTTTCCCTTCCCTTTATCTTTCAACATACGCTGACCTGCAAAACAGGTTAGTCCAACATCTGAGCGTTAGACCAAAAGGTCTAGTGAGTGAATAATCACATACAAACAATAACATTCCAAACAATCAGTTTAGAATCAAACCTGTTGCGAAACATAACATAATTATGTTTCTCGCGGTTACACCGCCATTACATTCTCTTATCTCTCACTCGCAGTTACACTGCCATTATATCTCTCTCGCGGTTACACCGCCATCTCACTCGCAGTTACACTGCCATTATATCACTCTCGCGGTTACACCGCCATCTCACTCGCAGTTACACTGCCATTATATCACTCTCGCGGTTACACCGCCATCTCACTCGCAGTTACACTGCCATTATATCACTCTCGCGGTTACACCGCCATCTCACTCCTCTTGCGGTTACACCGCTATTACATCTCTCTTGCGGTTACACCGCTATTACATTTCAAAAACATTTTAAAAACTTTTTATCTCTTTATCCGGATTTCAAGTCCGGTCATCATTGTCCGGATTACATATCCGGTCAAAACACTTTGAAAATAAACTAACATCTTTGTCCGGATTACAAGTCCGGACAAYACATCACTTATAACTTTATCCGGTTTAAAATAAACCGGACGATACACCGCACAACCTTTGTCCGGTTTAGAGTATACCGGACAATACATCACTTAACCTTTTGACCGGTTTAGAGTATACCGGATAATACATCACTTAACCTTTTGACCGGTTTAAAAGATATCCGGTCACCACTTGAACGGTTTAGACGATATCAGGTCACCACTTGACCGGTTTAGATGATATCCGGTCACCACTTGACCGGTTTAGATGATATCCGGTCACCACTTGACCGGTTTAGATGATATCCGGTCAAGGCATGAGCGGTTTTCTTATCCGGATATCAATCCGGATAACCCTTGAACGGTTTACTCAAGAATCAACATAAAATGCAACAAAATTCATAATAACCAGTTCTAATTCTTATCAAATTGTATGTAAGCAATTCATATCCAAAGCTCTTAATACACTCACCTTTTAGAAATTGAGAATCAAAGCTTTTAAAACCTTTTCTTCTTCTTCTTGTGCAGTCCTACTTCTTCAGAGAAAAACTTTCCAAAAATAGTATGTGTGTGTTCCTTTTCTTCACAAAACAATATATATACAAAATAAAAGGTGGGGAGGTGATGGGCGGCTCATCTAGCCGACCTCCCCCTTTTATTATTATTTTTTAATTCTTATCCCTCACACACATACATATCATACATATATATATATATATATCCTTTCATAATAACCAGAATATTACAATATTCCCTCCTTAAAAGAATTCCGTCCCGGAATTTCACTTAAGCAAAAAGGTAGGGATATTTCATCCGCATTTCCGATTCTGATTCCCAGGTGGCATCTGGTCCTTTATGATAACGCCACTGAACCTTTACTAACCCAATTTCTTTGTTTCGTAACTTCTTCACCTTATAGTCAGTAATCTGTTCAGGGGTTTCTTCAAAGCATAATCTCTCATCTACCTTAATCTCAGGTAATGGTACTGCCACATCTGGACTTATCAGACACTTCCTCAAATTTGACACATGAAACGTGTCATGAATTCCACTTAATTCCAAAGGAAGTTCTAACTTATAGGCCACTTCTCCAACTCTCCCAATAATAGAAAATGGTCCAACATATATTGGACTTAACTTCCCTCTCTTTCCAAAACGTATTATTCCTTTCCAAGGTGATACTTTCAACATTACTTTATCACCTATTTGAAACTCAATCGGCTTCCGACGTTTATCTGCATAACTTCTTTGTCTATCTTGTGCCGCTTTCATTCGTTCTCGAATTACTCCAATTTTATCTGCAGTTTGCTGAACTAACTCAGGTCCAGCTAACTGTTTTTCACCTATTTCATTCCAGCACAAAGGAGTTCTTTCAATTGAGACATTAATTCCTTTAACTCAGAAGGAGCTAATCGATATGGTGCACGCGCAACAGGTGTTGCTCCAGGAATTAATTCAATCTGAAAGTCTATCATTCGATCTAGAGGTAAATTTATCAAATCTTCCGGAAATACCTCAGGAAATTCTCTTACAACTGGAATATCTCCCATCTTTCCCTTCTCTTTCTTCACATCTATAGCGTATGCAAGAAAACTAGCACATCCTTTCTGCACATACTTTCTAGCCTTTAGAACTGAAATTAGGCTAGAGTAACGATCCCGTTTATCTCCATAAATCACAACTCTTCCTTTCTCAGGTAAGTCTATATGAATCAT